GCCGGAACCAAGTGGGATGCGCGAAGTCATTTCATATCCATGCCGAGGGAAAGGCCCCCCAGCTCGTGGGCGCAGGCCGGCAGAGCCGGAATATGCGCTGAGGTCATCACGGTCATTGGGGATAGGCAGATCTATTTCGGCAGAGGCGGCAGAGGGCCCTTCGGAGGAGGTCCGGGGCAGGGAGGGAACTGGGAGGTGCCGACGGAAGGCATCTTGTGGTGATGTGGTGGGTTGGTGGAATGAGGTTGGGCGGTATAGGAGTCGCGAGTATCGTGGGTAGCAGGTAGCAGCTATAAGAACGTCGTCGGTAAGACAATAGTGTAGTTCACGTAATTTGGATGGAGGGAAAGAAGAAAAAAGGCCAGAAGAGGAGCACGAGCGCTCTTATAGCAGGAAGCGATCTTCGCAGGCCGGGCACCACCATTACAGTAGGACTAGTTTACCTAGTGCAGCTGCTAACTTGTCCCCATCGAGCATCCCTGCCACGAACAGGAGGCTGAGTACCCACCTGATCTGACGTAGGAATGAGTGCGATTGACTTAGCGCGTTGTGGCCGATGAATAATGGAGCCCCAAGTGGAAATCGAATGGAAATTTTCTAGTTTTTCTAGAAGGTCTCCACCTGACTTCCCGTGTGGCGCTTTCTGTCTCTAGGGGTTGTTAGGGTGAAAGGGGGGGGGGGGGGAAGGGTTGGGAAATAATACCAGAAATCAATTATCATCATCATAATACATGCGCTTATGGTTATTAACTATTACTGTACGCCGGACCTCGGTTACTTGAAAGAATTGATGGGAATCATCGAAGAGCTTACTAGAGCAACACGAGATCCGAGACACATCTGCCCGTCCGGAAGCAAATCTTCCCACCTCTCTCTGAATGCTACGCCTGATAATACATTTTTTCATCTCATCTCCGTTTGTCGGTTCTACTCTCTCTGGTATCACGACAGTGTTCGCCAAAAATAATTATGAAACCACGCAACGTGTGTCACTGGAAATGGGCAATCTCCCGCGGCCCCACCCTGGCTCCATCAGGACGGTTCCTCGATGCGGTGAGCGAAGGGACGAAGGCCGAATTTTATTTTTTTTTCTAATATTTTTTTCCTGTTGAGCTGAACTTGGCAATCCTGACTGTACTCCGTACAAACTCAGTAGGTCAACGGTAATAGGAAAGAGCGTCAAAGAGAACGGGCCTAAGCGCGGGCACTACATAGACTTCCCTGCCCCAATGACTCAACCAAGTTACGGGGGCCGAACAAGAAAGGACTAGCAGGGTCTAAGCAGCCAGAACAAGCGACGCGTGCTAGGATGTCGATCGCTGGGGTGGAAAGAAAAAAGAAAAGAAGAAAAGGAAAACGAATGATTGGGACGGAAAACCCCCCAGTCGGTACGCCGATTCGTGTTGCCCACACTGCCGGGATGCTCTCGCACCTGCCAAGGCTCAGGCATCCATGACGAGTGAGCATCAGCATAAGCTGTCCGTGGCGCAGGGGCTCGGCTGGCTTCTCTGATTCGCCTGTTTACCCAGGTTGACTCACACCCGGGGTTAATGGGTAAGCAAAAAGCATGATATGTGATAATCTGACACGTCGACTATGCATCTGCAAACGTTATTTTCCTTAGTAAATGTGGCACAGATAACGGTCTTCGTCTAGGCGGGAGCTGCAGTCGATTTCTCTCAGGGGGAGGCGAATTCTACCTAATGAAACATGTAAAAAAAAAAAAAAAAACAAAAAATTCATGGGCGCCAGACCTAGTGGGTCCCGTGGTTCGTACCCGTGGTCTCCAGCAAACTAAAGTGCGGGAGGTTTTGGAAAGAAAAGGCTACGGATTAGGGCTGCTACTATTCTTGAACCCCGCTACGATGGTGGTCGCTCCCGCTGAGCCCGGGGAATTTTGCCGTGCTTATCGGCGCGTTACGAATAAAAAACTAGCAATGTTATCTACTTCGTTCCTTAGTGCAGTGGGAAAATAGCCGGAACAGGTAATGCGGGCCCAATTTTGAGTCGTCACCCACTAATAGAGTACACAGCCAAGTAACCTCCCGGGCTGTGGCTGATGATGCGACCGTCCCTGAGCGGACATGCAGTCGTCATACACCTGCAGTGGCAATGATAATCTACATAGGAGATAGGATACGGAGTACTACTCGTTCTAGAGATGGGTACGGAGTACATAGATATGTCCTGAAACGAACGGGGGTCACGACAGACGAGCTGTGCATGACACATCCTCATTTTGACATAAAGCCGGTAGGACAGGACAAGCTCGCATGTGCAGGGGGTTGCCCCTCCTGCAGAGCGAGCACCCGGCGTGGATGGACATGCAGCATGCAGGCGTGCAAGGCCAGTCGTTCATCGGAAACCAACCAAACCCCCTGCTCCCCAGGGTTGATCATGCACATCACTGGGTCAGGAGAGTTTCAAGGCAGAAGATCTACTGGTCTCCGAGGCTGCGTCGCCCGCGTGTCGTCCATGGCGTGCTCGGCATGGATCACACTCTGTCTGAAGGGATGGGTATAGTAGTAGAGGTGGTGACGACTACGGGGTAAGTGGTCGTAGTCTTTCTACGGAGTACGCATGTACCAACGGAGATTATTCGTATGCATCACCGTGGTCAGATGTCGCAGAACTTCTGCACCGATCTCCGAATTGGAGATGTCACCCACACCCTCCCCTCCGGCACGCCCCGGAAGTACCTCCGCAACTCCGGAATTAAGCATTTGTGCTGGTTTTTGCAGTTCAGTTTGCGTAGCGTACACAGACCCCATGATGACAACAATGTGACAAAGCAAGACAAGAAAGCTAAACTGCAGGCCACGGTCACCCCGTCAAAAGCAAGATGTGCGCATGACCATAGCCCTATACGGTAACACGGCCTCGGACTTGTCCGTGCGAGCGGGATTTGGGGGGGATCGGAGGTGTGGGATTCGCTCGTCCGAGGAAGGTGCCTGCTTCTGAGCCTGTTCCTGGTGGATGTACCTGTGCCTGTGCGCCTGTGTGCCTGCGTGCCTGTGTGCCTGTATGCCTGTATGCCTGTACCTGGCAGTCGGGTAAAGTGCGCGGCTCTAGCGGTTCCCGCATCCAACCTTTGTACTCCGTAACAAGCGGTGGGTGGAGCCTGGAAAGGTCCGGGAAACATGCTAGTGGCGAATAGGTCGGGGAAAGCAAAGAGGCAAAAGGGGAATGAAACACACAAAGAAGAAAGACGAAGGCAGAAAACCGGGACACGCTAAGGGGCCGCAAACTTCAATAAACGAGTCCGAAGGGGAATAGGGTGGTGCAAGGCTCCACTGAAAGGACGGGGTGCACCGCCGTTCCGCGCCGTTGGAATTGGGTGGAGGCCTCGGAAAAGAGGAGGCAGTGCGATTGGAGAGTTCGGAGGGTTTCACCCTGTTCACGGGCAGGGTTTGGTTCCTGGATCCTGCTGAGTTTCGTTGTCTGGTTCCCGATGGCAGTATGGAGTCTGGAGTTCCGACTCTGGAGGATTCGGTTTAGGATCGCGGATCCCCGGCGAGTTTCCTGTTTGGCTTGGGCCCCACCTCCAGCACGTGGCAAAGGGGTTTATTCGGCTTAATCTGGTCATTCCAGTTGATCTGGAGGTTGGTCCCGAGTTGGTTCCAAGGTTCATTCCCCTTCATACTTCCCGCTGGACTTTGTGGAAGCAGGACTCCATAGTTGCGGTTGGATGAATTAATGGGTGGTCCAGATATATTTAGAGCGCTCCGTAGAGTCGTATACGCCGTACTATACTCGATCCTGGACGGTCGTGCGCAGTCCCGAATTCACAGTCCATTCGTCACCTCAGGTCACAATCTGATCTCCACCCGACTGCCTGGGGAGTGATACTCCCCCGTTTCCCATCAGATTGCTCGGCAAGCAAATCAATCCAACTACCGAGCGTTACTCCGCAGATAGAGCAATCTCGGATACTCCATTCACGGAGTACGGAGACGGAGTACGGAGTACGGAGTACATTAATAAGATAAGAATCCATATGTAAGAAAAAAAATCAGAACCTGCGCAGGAAGGTGTCGGCCGCCGATGGGGTCACGGGATGCGGTGGAGGGAACGGGGCTGTTTCAGGCCGCTCCACTTTGGCCACCTTCTACGCGGGTTCCGGGTTTCCGGTAGGAATGTTGAACCGAGGCCGGCAGGAAGAACCACACGAAGCCCTGCAGAGCTGCGCTGAAGAGCTGAGCCCGGGTGGGACTGCAATGCCAGTGGGAAAAAGATCGGAGAAAAGGTCGCGATGATACTCCTTCTGTTTCTGATTTCGTAATCGCTAGCTCAGTAGGCAATACCAGTTGTGCGTCGAATGATCACGAACTCAACGGAGACATGCAAACCCCAAATATGCCACCAACGTGTAAGGGCGGGAAAGCACCAGGAACGAATCGGGAACGGGATCTCATCATGGCAGGGATGCAGGTGCCTTCGCTCAGTCATCAGCCACGGTTGAGAGCAGCTAAAGTCACTCGCTACAATTCGAATCCTGACATTCTGGAAAGCCGGGAGTCTGCTGGGCCGGGCCAGCATTCAACCTGAATGGCCGCCACTTGCATAAGAATTCCTGAAAGTCCCAGGCATTGACCTCACGACCATCCACTCCGATTTCAAGCTGACCGCATCCCCGCGGCACACTGCAGCAGTCCAGTTGTCCATGGACATGGGAGGGTTCGGCATCAGGCATAAGGAGCATGGACACTGTGTGGAGTGGAGATGCACGGGTGACATAGAGACATAGACGAGCGCAGCCATAAGCAATCTCTTCCATGCTGAGCATCAAATTATATTGCGCATTTGGTCAGGATAGACGGCATATCGCAGAGACTTGACCGTTCTGCAACTGTAATGTTGTGTATCACAGGTAACGCCCTGTGACGGGTCACGCCACCGCGGCTACCCGGTGTCTAGAATGTCCTCCACAACCTAGGAAGGGAGAGTGTCAGGTATTTCAGGTCTGCTATCAAATGACACGGAAGGTCATTGCGTCGCCTTCAATCCTCGTCAAGACCTGTCTGAGCCTGGCTTGAGATCCAGTCCTCCATCAGAGGCTGTTTCGGCTCTGATGCTGCAGCATTCACCTGGGTTCGGTCACCCTTGCGGGTGATGAGCAGGCAGAGCACCCAGCCAGTGATGTTGAAGCTTTCATAGTGGGTGCTGAAGCGCAGCTTCTTCTTCTCTTCCTCTTCGGTTAGCTCCTCTATATCCACTTGGCCTGTCTGAGCCTCATTTCCACTATCCGATAATAGAACGGCTTCTGATTCATTGTTATCTTCGATCGCCACGGGGATATTGCGCAAATTGACTTCGACCTCGCTGTCGCTATCGATGATGACCTCTGCATCGGCAGGGTTGACCGGATCTGCCGAATCATTTGCCAACCCTTTTCCAGACTTCGACTTGGGCTTATCGGTCGTCTTGCCCGGTTCATGGAAAACTTTGTTGCGGGTCAAGAGGGCATGTCGGGTACGCGATTCGCGGAGGAAGATGGCCACTTCGAATTCACCTGCAGGAGCATGGCATGGACGTTAGTCAGGGAATTGAAGATGCCAACTAGACTTCAACTACCTTCGGCAATGACATCCTTCACAGGCTTGCTCTTCTTGCGCGCCCAGAGTCGCTCGTTTTCCTCCCGCAGCTTGGGCAGGACCAGAGGCCGGATCGCAGCAAAGACACGAGGGAGGACAGGATCGCGCGGGTTCAGGAGCCATCGCGAGTCAGATGGATTGTCCAGGTAAATACGACACTCTATCACCGAGTATTTGCTGATGCGCAAGTAGCGGCGGAGGGGGGCCATGATTGATTGTGTAGAGAATGGGCGGGCGCTCATATGGAGATTTGAGATCGGATGAGCTAGCTGATGAGCTCATCGGGCTCGCGCCAAGCTCCGCCGCAGGTCCTGTGATTGGTGAGGAGCCATGCCCCTGTCATTCACCCTGTCCTCAAAAACCTCTTCTTGGAATCAACCTCCTCCGTCTCTTCTGACGATGTCTGCGAACATGCTGACAAGCAGACATGCCGGCACTTCTCTCCCACTATACTTGGTTCAGCCGGGCAGCGTGAGCGTTCAATGGTCGCCCACGTGACTCAGTGCGAATCACCGCGATCGGAAAAGACTGGCCGTCCCCAAGGTCCTCGCCCTCCACTCGGGCCCCGCGGTACTGGGTACTCCTTTCCCAGCCACCGTCACTATGAAAATGAGGTACCCGCTACTTTGCGCTCTGTCTTGACGTCTTCCCGGGCCAACAAGGTCCTCATCGATCCCACCCTGCTGCCACCCCACCGGCTGGGCACGCCATGATTCCCGCAGATTTTAATTGTACTGAATATTTTCGAATCTCTCTCTTCGATCTCCCGATTTGCCTCTCTTATATCCCTCACTTTTACTGTCCAGGAGGGTGTCTCGGTGACTTGCAAAGCTTCGTTCCCACGGTGGTGATCCTAGTACTAGACGTTTTCGGGAAGACCTGGCATATCCACCACCCACCTTCTCTCCGCCGCGGACTTCTTCCTCACCGGTTCCTCCTGAGACGTGCATCGCCACAAGAGTTAAAGAGCGTCCGTTAGTGCCTGATTACGCATTGAAGGTGCCGGTGTCGCGCTACATCATTGTCTGATCTCGACAGGCCATCTTAGTTGTCTCCACGTCGGGCATTGGACCATCTCGCCTGTACTCGAGGACCTTGGGCGTTCCGGTCGGTGCTACAAAGCACCCACACAAAACTTTCAGCCTGTCTTAATTGGAAACGCCTCCACACACCATCTGCCAGATCGTCGTCTTGTTCTTCTTTTTCTCCCAAGGTGCTCAGGACACGCTCGATCTGATTTGATATTCTGCCGCTGTACCTATCAATTGTCGTTGATCTTGGTTAGATCTATCCGTCAATCGCACAGCAGCTCCACTCTGGATCTTTGACGTACGGAAGAACCGTTCGATTCACGCTGTTCATTATGGAGGTGGAATCTGTGGGCGCGCTTTTCAAGCGCGCGGCCGATCCATGCGATTCCGGGAATGAGTTTGACGGCCGCATCGGCCTGCGCATCTCCTCGATATTCGTTATTATGGCCGGATCAATGTTTGGAGCTCTTTTCCCTGTTTTTGCACGACAGTTTGGCGGGGAGCGTGGGGTCCCTGGATGGGCGTTCTTCATCGCGAAGTACTTCGGATCTGGAGTTATTGTCGCAACTGCCTTCATTCACCTCCTCGCTCCGGCTGAAGAGGCCCTCACTAACCCTTGCTTGACCGGCCCTATCACCGAATACAGCTGGGTCGAAGGTATCATCCTGATGACTATTGTCGTCCTATTCTTCGTCGAGCTGATGGTCATGCGATTCTCACGCTTCGGATCTGGCCACGCTCACGACGAGGAGGGGCATGCCCATTCGCACTCCCACATCGACACGGCTGAGCCCATGGTTGAGGTGAATAGCAAAACTCATCACCACATGCCCGGTGAAGACCACCTGGGCCACTCCCGTGAACACCATGACCTCGATGACTCCGAGAAGGATGTTGCAGCCGCCGAAGATTATGCCGCCCAGCTAACATCCCTCTTCATCCTGGAGTTCGGCATCATTTTCCACTCAGTGTTCATTGGCCTCACGCTGGCTGTGTCCGGTTCCGAGTTCACCACTCTGTACATCGTCCTGGTCTTTCACCAAACCTTCGAGGGTCTGGGTCTCGGCTCTCGACTTGCCCTTGTTCCCTGGCCCAAATCCAAGCGGCTCACGCCCTATTTTCTGGGCTTGGGCTTCGGTATCTCCACCCCCATAGCTATTGCTATCGGTCTAGGGGTTCGGAATAGCTACCCGCCGAGTGGGCGTACCACGCTCATGGTCAACGGCATATTCGACTCCATCTCCGCTGGCATTCTCATTTACACGGCACTGGTGGAGCTAATGGCGCACGAGTTCATGTTCAGTAGCTCTATGCGCAAGGCCCCGATTCGTGAAGTGTTGGCCGCTTTCCTCCTGCTGTGCATGGGAGCTGCCCTCATGGCCTTGCTAGGCAAATGGGCATAGATCTATACGTCGTTTGTTTCCATCTCTGTTTATTTTTCTTCCAATTCGCTGTTTCCATTTTTTTTTCAGGGCCCAAAAGTCCAGGATTTCACACTTATCTTGTTTAAAGTTATCCCTGGTCATATGTACATGCATTGATACCCGCGGGGCCACCTGGCTTCCACCAGCGCAGGCGCACATTTACGGCTTCTTGTTTTTCTTTTTCATGAGGGCCACAGGTCGCACTCTATTCCATCGAGACTAAATGGCCTGGAAATATCTAGACCGATGTACATACTTAGCTTCCAATCTCAATCAGATCCAAACAAACTTGCGAAGACAAGATATTGCCCACGTGCCCAGCAACTTCACTGGAAGGTTCCCTGTCCCCTAAGATCTACTCCCCACAGACCAGCCTATCACTGCCACCGCAACAACAACAACCATGTGGCTGACACTGGAATGCGCGCTGCCAGAACCGGCGCTTTTGATTGTACGACCCGATCCAGCTTCTTTGGAGCGCCACGGCCGAGTTTGGCCCCGGTCCATGAGTCAACTGTAGAACTGGTTCCTGTGAAGTCCCGTGCGTCAGGTCGCACTACTTACATGAGCTCCTAATGAGTCTATTGCTCTGCACTGTTTTCCTCTGCTTTGCTTCAATTACCCAGATCAAGACTCTTCGGGAGATAACAGCTCCGATATCAAAATGGCCATCGAATGGCCCTTAGCGAGTCACAGAGGCAGATGCTGGCAAGGCCGAGGTCCACGACAACATCGGCGCTGGACGCCAGCCCCTCACACGATGTCCCGAGGAAGCGGCAGAAGCGATCGGATCTGTTTACCATCGTGATTCTGTTCCCTGGGTCATTTTCGCGTTGAAAGTGGTCATCGGAGGGATCTGGGCCACTGCTTTGCACGGGGTCACCATTGACGGCATGTTCCGGATGATGACCGTTGCTCGTGGTGTTGTGGGCTTCGGTATGTTTGTATCACAATCAACGTGAGATCGAGCCCAATGAGAGCTACCCCTACTCTCAGACGCTGGCGGCGAGTACCTTGCATCATCAAGGTCTGCCTCTGAGCCCGCCAGCGATCTGATTCTCAAGCATCGCGGGCCAGCTTTCATCATGGTAAGCAAATTCCTGCTGTCTTTTGGGGGTCCGTTCGCAGTGTCCATCTTCTTGACCGTGCTCATGGCTTGCCCGCAGTCGCACTACAGCACCGTATGTTTCCAGCACGACGCTCCGTCGTGTCCGCCTCGCTATGACGAGAAAAACGAAGAACAGAATCGACGACGCTACTGCCCAGTCTGCTGCTAGTTCACAGCCCGCAGTCCACCTGCTGAGATTTCCCCGATGATCAGTCAAGGTGGACTGCGGGCTGTGAACTGGCAGCAGTCTGGGCAGTAGCGTCGTCGATTTTGTTCTTCGTTTTTCTCGTCATAGCGAGGCGGACACGACCTACATTCGAGCGAGACAAGAAATGCCACAGTGAAACGAAATCTCATCGTTCTGTTCTACCGCTGCAATCCACGTCTATGAAAGTACATCACCGACCCCAGCAGCCAAGAGCGGACCCCAAACCCAAACCAAACGTGCGCCTCCGCACTCCACCACGTTGCTCTCTTCTCCCCTCCCGTTCCGTCCAACACTCCAACCCTCCTCCCCACCATCCTAACCTTCATTCAGTTCAATTGAACTGACTCAACCGATTCTTCTCTTTCACGCTATCTCCCAATCACGACCAACCACCACAATGCGTCTGACCACCCTCTTCCTCGCCCTCGCCTCCCTCGCCTGCGCCGCCGAGCTGGGCATCGAGACAACGCACAAGGTCGAGTGCACGCGCAAGACACAGAACGGTGACAACGTGTCCATGCACTACCGGGGTACCCTACAGTCTGACGGGAGTGAATTTGACTCGAGCTTCAAGCGCAATGTGCCGCTGAGCTTCAAGCTGGGAACCGGTCGGGTGATTAAGGGGTGAGTTGGGGCTGGAGAGCTGTTCTCACGCTGCGCTGTTCGACTTCCTGGACCCTTGGCTAATTCGTTTCGTTTCTTGCTGTAGATGGGACCAGGGTCTTCTCGACATGTGCATCGGCGAGAAGCGCACGCTGACTATTCCTCCTGAGTTTGGCTACGGCGACCGCGGCATTGGCCCCATCCCCGGCGGTGCGACGTTGGTTTTCGAGACCGAGCTGGTCGCTATCGAGGGCGTTGACAAGGATGAGCTGTAAATTGGAGGATATCCTGAGATACCATGTGTTATCTGGTCCAATGTCCACATAGACATGTCCTGACCTTCCGCTACCTATTTTGAAATGGATATACCCAAATCATTGGAACGATTCTCAGTTACGAACCGTTTCATTCACTGCGCAGAGTCCATGGCTGGTCATCTATTATAAAGGGTATCTCGTCTAGCATATATAAGAAACGTATCTTACAGTCCTCATCGCTCAAATCCCACCATATATACAAAACCCAGGAATCTATATGGATCGACATGGTACACCCAAGTCGTCAAAGCATCCAACCCCGCGTCCCGCATTGCTTCTTTCCTCTCCCGACGAAATCAGTCCATTGCATCCAAGCTATTCTCCGCCTGGACATCATTCTCCGAAACCAAAATACCTACCAGGCACTCCCCCAGAATCCCTTCCCAGTTCACCCACGGATGAATCTCCGCAAACAACTGCGCCGAGTCCTTCCCCGCGCCCCGCAGCAGCTCCCCCTTCCCGCCGGGATGGTAGGGCGCATACGGCGAGATGTTGTACACCTTGCCCTGATACGACGTCCAGGGGTCGCGGCCCTTGCGCCCGTTCTGGGTTTTCAGCATGGACGGCGTCACGCGCAGAAGACCCGCGGGCAGACCCGCGCCGCGGAGCTGGTTTTTCGGATTGGCAGCGCGCGCAGCCCAGTCTAGCGGCGAGTACCCCGGTTCGAGGACAACTTTGCGCGACGCTTGTTTCCTGACTGTGGTTGGGGCGAGGGTGCTGCTGCTGAGACCGCTGGCAGTTGGTGGAACGCGGAGGCCTGCGGCGGCAGATGGGGGGTGCGGAGGGAGCTAGCGTTAACTCGGGGCGGTTGGAGGGATGGAGGTGCTCTATTTGGTTGTGGGGTCTGTCGAGGGCGTGGGACCGGGGGAGGAGGCATTAAGGAGGGTGTGCTGGCGGCGATGGTGCTGGAGGGTGTAGGCCGTTGTGGCGACGACGGCACCGCGAAGGATGGGGGCTGCGCTTTGGCCTCTGGTATCGCATTAGATTTCCCAGTATATGAGGCCTTCTGTGTTGACCCGTTCATGCTATTCTGGGCTGGTGAGCCTGTCGCGACGGCGGCAGTGCTATTGTCGCTTGAGTCACCAACTAGATTCAGCGTAGGAACCGCAAGAACCGAGGGCGGTGCACCCGATGCCGACGCCTTGGGCGTAGTTTGGGTGCCATCTTCTTCATTGTCTAGCGAAGGAGATGCCGAGACGCCTGCGTCACATCTCTCCGAAGCATGTTCGCTGGTGGGACGAGTAGGCGGGTCGGATCTGGAGTTCGGCGGGGTGGAAGGGGGTCCGGGGTCTTGCTGTCAGGTTGGTTGCGGGAGAAGAAGTATCCCGCAGTTGCGGCGAGACTCCCCATGCCTGGCCAGCCCATGTCGGACGGGATCAAGAGGGTGAAGATGTAGGTAGTGAAGGTGCAAGGTGGAAGAAAGATGCGCGTGCCTGGCCACAATCTTGCAGAATCGTGTGGGGAGGTTCGGATGGCCCGTGCGCGGCGTGGGATTGAGATTCATACAGCCAAGCCGGTCCAACATGGTTTCAAGTGCAGTTAGTCGGGCCAAATTTATCTCCTTTTACGAGAATATCTGAGACCAGTCGTGTGGGATATAATACTTAAGATCGATGGGCACTCTCGAAGAATGTCAATTCGTAGATCATGGTGAGGTGTATATATGTTCTCAGCTAGGCTGCATGGTTCCTTTGGACAGCATCAATGTTCGTCGACAGAAAGCTCAACCATCGATCGGCATAAGGTCTCGCCTCAGCTGGGTTCGACAACAAATGGCACCATCCGCCTCCATGGATGCCTAGCAAAAAAGTCTCTCGTATGATGTCAGTACGCCATCACCAACGGCGTCAGAATCCGGGGCAAATCTGGGACGAGAAAGGCTGCTGGTTCATACTCCAACATGGTCCTTGCTCACAGAAAGCTAAGGGACCAGATGCTGCGCAATACTCTCATGTCTACGTCGGATGCGGTCTTGCTCTTCGATGTTGGAGCAGGTCAGGTAGCCGCCTCCCTATGCCCGTCTCTGATAACAGCTGGACTGACTCGCGGGAAACAGGCCCAAGGAAGTAGACCGTCCCAGGAGGATCGGTACACAATCGTGCTGCCGGAGCAGTTCCCCGCGAAGACAGACGACCAGATTGCGTTCTTTGCGATTTACGATGGGCAGTAAGAAGTCCCTCCGGCGAAGCGCGCATGAAGAAGCATTCTTTGGTTAACATCTGGATAGTGGGACTGGGCTCGTTGCAGACCATGCCAGCAGGAATCTACACCACTTGCTTGCTAAACGACCGGAGTTCGATCGAGGGGACTACGCCGCTGCTATGCAGGCTGCCATGGCCGATGAGGATGGCGTGCTGTTGGAGTATTTCAAGCACGAGTCTGCAGAGCCCGCGGTGTCCGGATCAACCGTTGCGGTGTGCTTGATCAACTTGACGAAAGGGGAGTTAGTGGTCTCCAATCTGGGCGACTCGCATGTCATTTTGGCCGAGCGTGATCCCAAGACGGAATTTCCCTACCACATTGTATGGCACCCCCTCCGTTAGTTCGAGGAGAGTTAACCGACCACATCATGATAGCGCCGCCTCACGCAGACACACAAGCCGGAGATGCGCAGCGAACAGGCGCGCATCAAGGAGGCCGGGGGCACCGTGCAAATGCGGGGCGGAATCGCTCGGCTCGGTGAGTCGCAGACTGGGCCCAGCTAGGCCAGGCCAGGCCAAAGAGGGGCGTTGTCGGGGGCGGAAGAAGCATTAAGAGGAATGATAATAACCATGAAGCAGGATCCCTGAACATGTCTCGGGGGTTGGGCGACCTGCAGTACAAGAACCCGGTGAACACCGTGGAGGATGATAGCTTGACGCCCCAAACACGACGCGCCTCGTCGTCATCGACGCCGATTCGTGGGGACTTCTTGTCTAACGACCCACACACCTCACGGCGCACACTGCAGTCAGACCGCCGGTACCTGCTCGTTATCGTGTCGGACGGAGTCAGCGACCGCACCGAGGATGCGGACCTGATCCAGCACGTGATGAAGCTGTCGATGCGCGGGATGCGAGCCAGTGATATTGCGCAGGAGGTGGCCAGCACCAGTGCTAGCTGTTCGAAGAGCGACAATGCCTCGTGTATTGTTGTGATGGCGGATGGGCAGCATTCGTGATGTGGAATGGGCGGGACGTGAAGAGAGAAATGCTTGGTCGGGGGTAGCGGGGAAGGGAAGGAAGCCCTCGGGACGAGATGGGACAATGTATTCCGTAAGAGGAAAAGCCAGACGATCAGATGATTTATGGAGTAGATGGAGTCGGCAAGGGGCTCAAAAAAATAGGAACCGGATTGGACTACATATAAACTGCTTGATACGTGGTGCTCATGTTGTATGAGGACGCTTATTCTATTTACCCGGCAGCCTTCTAGTGTACAGTAGTCCCCGAAGGACGGGCACATGTAAGCACCTACTCTATCAGTAGAGGCGACTTCAGCCTTCCGGAGTGGCCATTGGCCCACCCTTGTGTTATGCATGTTGGCCGAGTCCACCCAGTTCCGCGGAAGGGCGCTTCCTTGCCCGAACAAGAAGGTGGTTGTGTGCAATTTTCGGGACCCATAATTATCTTTCCATATGTTTTAGAAGGACTTGACTAACTACAACAAACGATAGATGATTGAATTGGCCAAAGAAACCCCAGGTACAATCCCACTCCAGTTTAACTTTGTGACGGGAACCATTTACTAGAATGGAGCCTGTAAACAATTTTTAAGTCCTGGTCAAAAATTCAGGGTCCGCCCCTTCCGTTTGGCGGAACCAAACTGGCCCAAGCTGGTCCACCGTTCAAGGACTGCCCCGGTGGCGGTCGTCTTTCCTATCACGGACGGATAACCTTGGATCTATTCTGCACCCTATAATTTGTCTAATTTGTCCCGGGCCTATAGTCCTTCTCCGCTTTCGCGTCTCCAACCAGACTTTGGGCCGGCCCCGGTCTGATCCCAGTCCTTTTCATCGAACATTATGCTGCTAGCCTACCAGACACCAGTGGAAAAAAATTTTGCCTGCCCTGCGAAAATCCCATCATTCCAAGCCCGCCCGGCGTTGCCCCCTCCTTCCTCCTTCGGAACCGCCTTCCCCCTCGAGAGGGTTATCTCCCCGATGGCAGATGACAATGCTTGGGACCCAAACCAATATAGCAGGCGGATAAGAAGTCGCTTCGTTCCGTCAGAGTGGAACGCCTCCCCCTCCTTCCCCCTCTTCCCGCCAACCAGCGCCTGCAAAGCGTCTGTGCAACCCGCCAAGGCTACTCTACTGGGTAAACCCCAGAGGCTCCAACGAGGGCTCTCGATGGCCCAATCCCCTGGAAATCTGTCAAACCCTTTTAGGCAGGCGAGGAAATCGGTTCACGGAGTGGAGATCCCTTTAAGAACAAGCACTTATGTTGCGAGATCCGGCCCTATCCACCTTCCATAACGGTCCATCCTGAAGAGGATCTTGTCTCGCGGTGCCTGCATCGGGCCTCCGGGTACCCTATTCCCTTGGGGTAAAAAACGCCCTTCCGTCGCCCTTTCCTCTGTTCTCATACCCCAATTTCCCTTTAACACTTTGCAATAAAAGAAGGCTGCCGCGAGCCTCGTTCCCGATGAGTGCAACACAGACTCGTACCAAATCGACCACGACCAACATGGCACCGGCGGGTTGGAACAACTTCCATGTGGGAAGAGAGTGTGGCCATGTAAAATGGTCCCGGAACATTGCGCCCAAATTGACTGTCTCCTCCGGCCAGACCGTCTCGTTTGATGCCATCGACAGCAGCAACGGCCAGCTCAACACCGCTTCGGATGCCTCGGCCATCAAGACGCTGGATCTCAGCATCGCCAATCCAGTCTTCGGCCCGATCTACGTGCAAGACGCACAGCCCGGTGACGTTCTCAAGGTCGAGGTCCTAGACCTTGAGGTCGCGGACTGGGGGTGGTCTGCCCTCATCCCGGGCTTCGGCCTGCTGGCGGAGGACTTTACCGAGCCCGAGATCAAAATCTGGTCACTCGACCGCGAGAAGGGCTACGCTCAGTTCAAGGACATGCGTATCCCGCTCCGGCCCTTCCTGGGCTGCATGGGCCTGGCTCCGGCCAACGACGATGAACTATCCACCGTGCCGCCCACCCACGCCGGAGGCAACATGGACTGCCGCGAGCTCAGCGTCGGCTCGACTGTCTACCTACCCGTTCAAACCGCCGGCGCCCTCTTCAGCTGTGGTGATGGTCACGCCGCCCAGGGCCACGGCGAAGTCTGTGGCACCGCCATCGAAACCCCCATCAAAGCAACCCTCCGCTTCGAGCTCGTCAAGAACCAGCCCTGGATCACCGCACCCCAGTACCAGACCCCGCCGCGAGCTCAAATACCCAACCCTCTCCCCGACCTCGGAACCTACGGTGCCCTCGGTGTCGGGCCGGACTTGTTCGAGGCTGCGAAGAGTGCTACTCGTAACCTCATCCAATGGCTCGTCCACACCAAAGGTCTCTCCAAGAGCGAGGCGTACATTCTGGCTAGTGTCGCCGGTGATTTGCAAATCGTTGAGATTGTCAACGTGCCCAACTTTGAGGTGTCCATGAACATCCCTTTGGGTATTTTCAGCTAATACTGAAATCCCCCTGATGGCAATCCTTGGTAGATATTGAGGTTCTTGGTACCGTTTGCAGGTGATATCCAGGGGTGCTCGGTGAGGGTGTGCTCTTTTTTCGTTTTTTTATACTGTACATATCTTGTTGCGACTTAGCCTTGCTTTTTTTCTGTGGTTTCTGCATAGGGGTCATATACTTTGGGGACATACGCTCGGCAAACGCTAATTCATCTATTTTATCTCACCATCTTTTTCTCCAGGAAAAGATTAGGATAACTTGTTTTGCTGTAACTAGAATACCGCATCTTCATAAAACCTCACTAGATTTTGCTAACAAAATCAGGTGATCAATCGAGACTGCTTGACTTTGTAGGGTTTCTTGGGTTGCAGTCGAGTTACACCTTGTACCTAGCCAGCATGGTTCGTACGGTCGTCTCGGCTTTACCTTTCTGCAACCATGATAGCACGCTGCACGAAGTCACTCAAAATTGCTCTCTACCAAATTAACATGGTAGATTTGAAATCTTTAACCTTTTACTTTCTCTTGAGTTGTTACCAAGTTGCACCCTGACAATAACTCGCCAACATGCCTGCCCTAATTACCTTAGCTTTACCTCACTACATTCAGAGTGACACTGCGCATAAAGCGGTTTAAATTTCTCATAAATCAAGGTGACAAAATTAAACTCTTTGACCATTGTAGTTCTTCCGAGTTGCAACGGAGTTGAGATTTGGTGAGACGCAGCCAAAGTCCGGCCAGCTTACACTATTAATTCCCTCGGGCTTTCCATCATCCACTCATCATTCAGTATTGATTGCCCTTGGAACGTTTGTTTAATTCTTGAACTAGAGGACTCCTGCCTACTTAGCAGGGCAACACTAGTAGTTTGAAGAGACCAAAGCCCGCCACAGTCCCTTTCTCCAACCCGACCGATCACAATCATTTTGTATCCCAAATTCGCAAGCTATTTTTCATTCTTCCCAGAGCATGTCGAGAATCCAACTGCAGTTTCATAGCACGCCTACCAAACTGCCCTCGCAAGAAAAGTCACATGACACCGCGTTCGCGTCTCGCCTGCCCTCTTGGCGACCCAACCCGCCCCGGTAGCATGGCCCTTTCCTAGGTTCCGATCCCCAAAACACTCGAAATGTCATGGATCCCATTCTCGATGGTTTGAACTCGGCCCAGCGCGAAGCGGTTACCTCATCCGCATCCATCCTCCAGGTGCTTGCGCCGCCGGGCTCGGGCAAAACCAAGACGCTCACGGCGCGCGTCGCGTACCTGCTTTCCCATCATGGTTATCAACCCCAGGATGTTATCTGCTGCACGTTCACGATCAAAGCGAGCCGGGAGATGCGCGAACGTCTGGCGAAGCTTATTGGAGAGCGATTGGAATCGCGGTTAATTCTGGGCACTTTCCATTCGATCTGTCGGCGGTATTTGGTGAAGTATGGGTATTTGATTGGGCTGCGGAAGGGATTTGGGATTGCGGATTCCGACGATACTCGGGCAATTCTTCGGGTGCGCTTAGCTTCGATAATTTGCTTACTGTAAGAGTTCTTTGCTAATATTGTGTCAAGAGGATTATCAAGCGCTTGAAATCCAGCATGGAGATTCGGACAGCTCAAGGGCGGATCTCCAAACACAAGGCCCACGGGCTCTCTCCAGACGCTTTGGCTGAGCGCGTCAAAGCAGAGGAAATGGAGCTTGTTCATATATACCGCGCATATAATACAGCGCTTGCAGAGGCAAATCTTCTGGACTATGACGATCTGCTCTTGCGCTGCGCCGATCTCCTCAGAGAGCATCCAGAATGTGTTTCCAATGTGCAAACAGTCCTGGTGGATGAGTTCCAGGATACCAACATCATCCAGTATGATCTGATGAATCTGTTAGCTTCGAAGAATCGGCGCATCACGATTGTCGGTGACCCCGATCAAAGTATCTACGGATTTCGTTCAGCAGAGATCCAGAACCTCAGACGAATGCAGAAGCGGTATGTGAACACATCGGTCATCCTCTTAGAATCCAACTATCGTTCTTCGGGGTCAATCCTGAATTCTGCACAAGACGTGATTGAGCAAGACACCACGCGACCTGCGAAAAGGCTTGAGGCAACTCATACATTTGGAACCCTTCCTGTACTCAGAAAACTGCCCAATCCCAGCGCAGAAGCTCTCTGGATGGTTCTCGAGATTAAGCGAAGCGTGGCGATGACGGGCGGTCTATTGAAAATGTCTGATTTTGCAATTCTCCTTCGGTCAGCCTCACTATCTACTCGCATCGAAACTGCATTTGGCCGAGCTGGAATCCCATACAAAATGGTGGGAGGCCGCAAATTTTTCGATCGGACCGAGGTCAAGACTCTCTTGAATTACCTCCGAGTCGTGAGCCATACAGAGCATTCAGATGCGCTTCTCGGTATTATCAATGTTCCACCGCGAAGAATTGGTGATGAGACTATCAAGCAATTGACCATTGGTGCTGAGCAGGCCCAGGTCACTCTGTGGACGTTCATCAAGGACGTCATACAAGGCCGTCGATCGACTGAAAAGAAGCTGCAGAAGGCGGCAGAGCAAGGGCTTTGTTCGCTCATGAAGTTAATCGAGGCCTCCAAACAGAAACTGCAGGATTGCCAAGATGCATCTGCTCCTCGTGTTCTTCTAGAGTATATCACCGAAAGCCTGTCGTTCCAAGAGTATCTTCTCAAGACTTATCCGCTGGACGAAGACGGTCGCTGGGCGAATGTCAAGGAATTGATGGGCCAAGCCAATGAGGTTGCGGCTGCTGGGGAGGAGGCAAGCCGGGAAGAAGACCTCCCTGAGATTGAAGGCGTCAAGCAGCAGCAAGCCCACTCGGGAGAAGAGGCTTTGTCCCGGTTTTTAGCCAATGTCGCCTTAGCCACCGAGGCACAGACGCAAGACGAGGGCGAACAAACATCAGAGGTTACCATATCGACGATCCACGCTGCGAAAGGTTTGGAGTGGCCGGTTGTCTTTATTCCCGCAGTATACAACGGGAGTATTCCTCACTCGCGAGCAGAGGTGGTTGACGAAGAGCGGCGGCTCTTATACGTGGCAATGACCCGAGCACAAGCTCTATTGTACCTGAGTCTTCCAATACGACAGCCTTGGCTAGTCGAAGGAGAAGACGGGTCCACAACCTTGACACCGTTTCTTCCGCCCAAGGTGACCAAGACACGCTTTCGCCCGAAAGGCCCTCCATTCCACGAAAAGGTAGTCTATTCGATCGCTGATATTCTACGCCGGCCACGACCATCGCCTACGGACATGTGTAAAGACATTGCTTCGCTCCCGTCACTCTCGGATGACAAGTGGACCTCCGAGGGCGAGGAGAAGCACGATGAGAACAGCCAATGGAACGACCACCAGGGCCCGAATGGCCTGGTTCAAGAGCCGTATCCAAAACGACGGCGCCCGGATAACCATGGGCCAACCTCAACCACCTACCTGTCTGCAGGCGGCTACAGCATGGGCGGTTCATCCAACTTCACAGTTGCCACCACGCTCTCGTCGGGCTTTACGTCCGCTCGAGATTATATGACGGTAAACCCAGCTGACAACCAGGACACGACTACGCAGTCTACATCTACATCCTCCACTACGAACGGAGCCGGTCCAGGAAGCAAAACCAAGGCCCCCGGCAGCGTTAGCCGTAAAGATAGCCTCACCCAAGCCAGTATCTCGAACTTCTTTGGTGGCCCAGGGTCCTCGCAGAAGAAAGATCCGATCCCGGTCCCCTGTCCGCCAACTCCGCCAGCCGCAGCCGCAAGGAACCATTTGACACCCCATCCCGATCCAGGGCCAGGCGCCAGCTTGGTTCCGCCGTCACTCTCTTCTCACCGTCTCCCACCACGACCCCTTCATCCATCCCGGCCGGCCCTTGAACCCGCCGAGCCTAACAATTACACGTGGATGGCGGCTCCGTCCCGGCCTGCCGTGAGATCGGCCCGCATGCTGACGCCGCGGCCACCGCAAGTGCAGGGGAACCGCACTGCGGACGCAGGGCCCGGGACCGGGGCAAGCGATGTGAAACAGGGGAGCTCCGCTGGGGGCATCCAATCCGTGACGTTTCACACAACCACAATGGCTACGGTCCGCCAGCAAGCCCCGGGGCCGACGGGACGCCGGACGCTGGGGATTCGACGCAGTATGAATGGGTGGGAGGAGCGGATGAAACGGGAGAGAGACGGCGGTGGTGGCCAGATACGATGAGATGACGGGGGAGAGGAAGCGGGTGTCGAGCGGTGGAATCGGTCTGTGGAGGTATGATACACGTCTCGCGGCCTCATTTTCTGGCTTATCCAGTTATCCATTGGTTTAGGAGGGGGAAATGACCTGGCTCGGTGGACCGGTGGAGAGGGAAGGCATCAACGGGAATTGCAATCGCCTGACCGTCGAGTGTCGACGAGTCCACGCAATGACCCAATGGCTCCGGGGCTCCGCAAGCATCCCGATCTACGGGAGTGACGTACATCCCGCGATCTCCCCTGGCGCTCTGCGCAATGAATGCACGATTACCTAGATAGGCGAGCGAGAGAAAGAGACCTAGCAACAAGTCCTCGCTTTGCAGGAGTCAGTTGACCTCGTACTACCCACCTTCCAGTTCGTCCGTGTCTTGGAGCATCAGAGAGGACGGTCGGGGACGATCGGTGATCTTCCGGGTCCAGGACCACTGCGATTGGTGCGAGCCCGCGCTCTAATCTCAATGATCATCACGGAGCCCTGAATGGTCTTTGAGGCGAGGCAAGAGAGATTCTGGACCAGAGTGGACCCGGGGGGACCCATTCAGAGGGCGAGTCGGTGAAGCTTCCCCCTGGCCCCTGGATCATTGACATCATCTTTTTTGCCGGTCAAGCCGGCAGGCATCCCTGGTGTGAAGGGTGAGGGGATTCATGATTGGCGGCACGGGGCCGCGGTGAGGCTGAGGAATCCATCTTTGGTCCTCGCGAGGTCCCGTCAACAGCAGTACGCCAACCGCCAACCGCCAACAGCCAGCAGCCAACAGCTAAACCAGGCTATTCTTGGAGGAATGGCTGACTCATCATTATTGGGCCCACCGCGTACGAGGAGTCCACTGCGTATCGTGGCACGGCTTCTGACTGGCTGCCCTGCCTTTGGCCTGGCGCGAGGCCCAATCACTGCATCTGCCCGTAATACCAGGCACCAGATACTGTACCCTCGTACGCCCATTACCCTGACCATACCTGTGATCCGTCCGGGGGGCTGATCCATTCCCATTCCCTTTCGAGCGCTGAAGCTCCCTGGCGCAGTTGACGGTTCCCCGGAGTTGTAGATCAGAGGCGCTCAATTGGGAATGGGCTGGGGTATACAAAAAGAGGTCCTGCTGCTCTTCCAGCTTCACTATCTTCACTGTACTTGTACTATTGCCTCCTCTATACTCTAATTCCACCCTCCCGCGACTTCATTTCTGCATCTTTATAGACCTCGTCGCGCACAGTTCAACACTGCCTGCCCTTTCGAGCCTGTGTCAGCTCAGACGTCCTCGATCACGACTTCGTCCCACCCTCTCCCTCCCCTTCCACTGGCCCTCTTCCTCCTTTGCTTCTTCTCCTCCCCTCTCATCTATATCATCATGCCCCACAAAGTCACCAACGACTCCAATTCTACACTGGCCAGCGGAGGCAGTAGCACCAGCGACCAGATTATCGCTACGGAAGTCCGAGGTATGTCGATCCAGCACCAGCACCAGCTCATCCCCCAGCCCCAGCCCACGCCTTAGCCCGACCAGGCCCCCTGTCCACTCGATCTTTAGATTCAGCCCGGCTAATGCAGGCGCGCACCCCGGTCAGTCGCCAATCCCGTCCGCAAACCACCCGTTGTCGTCCACAACCAAGGCGGCCAGATCTACGACGAGACTCGGCCGTCGGACTGGGACAAACAACGCTGGAAGTAACCTTCCGGCGGGTCCCAGGGAGGATGGGGGATGTGACGGACCAGAGGCAATAGACAAGCAGGCCGGGCTGGGGGACAGCTCCCCATTCGACTCCGATTTATCCGCGCGGCTTTACGGAGTACAGTGTACGTCTTCCTGGAAGGGGACACCGTGCACTGGACCCGACATGGCTGCTGCGAAGAGAAATCCCGGGAGCGGATACCTTGACCACACCAGAAATGAGGCGGTGATCGGCCAGCATAGCGGAAAAACTGCATTCATGCGGTTTCCGGGCAATTGGCTGGCGAGACGATGCAGCCCAGACAACCCCCCTTTTTTGTGGCTCACGCAACATGCTCTGGCAGGTCGCTGCCCCGAAAAGAAGGGATAGGGGGCCCATCACCGTCCCCGTCACCGCCAGTACCTCGTACCGCTTTACCCGCGGCCCCCTGACGACCGCCAATCTGGCCCCAACGCTCTTGCCTGTCGTCCCTTTCGTCGGCGGTCTTGTTGCCCAGTGACTCCCCCGAACTGGCCCGCTGCTCTTGAGGATTCCTTTCCTTCCCTGGCCCGTTTCAGCTTCGGACTGTTTTTACGAAGTGGATCCACCTTCCTCCCCCCCCCCCCCCCCCCCCCTGCTTGGTCCTTTTCCTTTTCGTTCCCCTTGTATCATTATCTGGAGTTCCTGGGGTTTCTCGGTGTTTCTCGAGCCTTGGTTTTTTTTTTTTTTTTTTTGGTCTCTTTCCTTATCCTCCCTTTTCCCGGACTCTATACGGTCAACTCCAGAGTTGGCTTCTCACGATTCACCCCAGTCTATACGTTCTCCTCTCTCTTTCTGGCTCCTTCACCCCCCTCTCCCTTCACCTCTCACCTCTCCCCTCAACTTCCCCATCATCCTCCCCCTAGTCGATCCTGTCGGCCTCAGGGAGCGTTACACGTGTCATATTACTTTTACGCACATACCTCGCAGGTTGCTGCAGGTGTACTCGCTGGAACCGCCTTTGGCTCCGGCCTGTCTGTTTCTGTTTCTGTCTCTGTCTCTGTTTCTGTCTCTGTCTCTGTCTCTGTCTCTGTCTCTGTCTCTGTCTCTTTTGCTTTTACTTACCGTACCGAGGTACTCTGTTTTATTTTGTTTGGTTGCGATGCATAGCGTGGGGATACGGGGTTCTTTGCAAATGAGCGAAATGGGTCTTCGAGATTGGCTATTGGCTATTGGCTATTACTTACTTACTCGACACAATTTGATTTACTGGAGATTTTGCCTCCATTGAGTGCATGGAATACACCCGGTCGGAATCGGAAATGATCCTGGACCCCGACTAAGACTACAGACTAAGACTACAGACTACGGCGTAGACACTATTGCCCCTGACCTGTCTCCTCTTTCGAACGGAGCACGGAGCACGGAGCACGGAGTATAGACACAAGGTTGCGCCAGGATCCACGGGTGCCCCAGTTCGCTGGGGGTACCTGGACATTCCGGGGCGGTGGTTGGCTGCTTGGTCGGGTCGACCCACGGTTGAGCTTGGTAGGGATCCACATAGATTGCTTACCTAGTTCCAAAGTATGGGGAAAGCTCGGGGGCCGCGGGCGGAGGATGGCATTGAGCTACCTAAGATATGGGGGCTAATAGTGCAGAGGAGATGCATCGATATCCATTCCCCGGCCGAAGAATTAGTATATTCCCCCGAATGTGTGCAATTTGATTCCTTGCCCGGGTTGAGATTGGGTCTCTTGCGTGGAGGGAAAAACCTTAGGACCTGGGTATCGACGCGGGAATATATATCAGGAGGTAAAGCGTCCAGCACAGCGATACCTACCAGGTGCCAGAGATGCTAGCAATGAATTCAATGCCGCTATGGAATAGCAGCCTCAATGGCAAAGATACACTCAAAGACACAGCGGAGGATTGCGATGAGCACCGATACAGTGTCGTAGGTATGGGTGGGCCCTTGTGCGCTACCCTCGCAAATTCAACTAGAACGCGTGGATGGGGATACCGAGGCGGGGGTACGCAGCTAGGATCGCGGCGAAGAGCTTGGAAGACTCACGGCCATTCGCATCTACGCCACTCGCATCTACCTTACAGACCCTACAGATCCTACAGATCCTACAGATCCTACAGACGAAAAGAGCAAGTAACCACAGAATTGGATATCATTCGTGGGCCATGTGGCAATCTCGAATCCACACAGAAAATCAACAGAAAGTTCCTTCACTCCCCACACTAAAGTGGACAGGATCAGAGCCATGTTAAAACTAGGTACACAAAGGTAAATGGGGAGGCAAACAGGGGGAGGGGATGGTGTCAATCTCAGGTCTCCGTTGCCGTGAATTCCCCAGGAGACCGCAATATTTCTTTTTGTCGATTTTTGGTGCTTTTTTTGCTTTTTTTTGTGTGCGACCGTCCCACCCCAACTCGAACAGAAAGAGGTGGAGATGAGGTGGGTGGGATGGTCCAGACACATTAAAGACTTTTTCTGAGGGGGGGCCAGGGGATGGGGAGGGGGGGGGGGGGGGGGTGGTGGATGCAGCTTTACTGCGAAACGATCGTCAGGAGTTGGGTGATATGCAAAGGCGCAGCGCTCGCGGGCGCGCAGCAGCAGATGAAGAATGTCGAGGCGGTGTGGGTGAACCCCCTCGACAAGATATGCGAAGTAAAGATGATGTGATGGGTGTGGGGGATGACAACGATGCAATAAAGATAGCAAATAAACACTAAATGGCTCGCTCTTGCAATGCTATGTGGAATGAGATCAAATGCAAATGGTGACCCAGGAATGATGGGAATTGAAGGGAAAGAGAGAAAATAAAGGGTATGCAGTTTTGAAAAACACGAATGGGACGACGAATAGAATGGCTGGTCTCGACTCCGGTTCTGCAGACCGAAGCCGTATGCAAAGCGTATGAAGGTGGTCAAATGGCGGAAAGGATGGCACAGGGTCAACAATCCCAGAAGAAGCGCCGGATGGTGGTGATTAGGGGGATTGATGGATTAAACGGCGATCAAACCAACGCAAAAGCAAGACGCTTCCTCGAAAGGTTTATATCCGGCCGAGAGAAAGAAAACAACGACGCCGGACGGGGAATATGTGCATGACGCCGAAACACTTTTGAAGGATGGCTGCTGCTTCTTCGGTTGTCCTGTTGTTGTTTTCTTCTTTACATCACACCCCCATAGGTCGTGTCGAGTGCCATCTGGGACGGTGGTGGGAAATGCTGCAGTTGCTGCGGATGAGAGATGTACATGGCTTCCTGTTGCTGATAGGCATCGGTGGGCATGTACTGCATCTCAGCCTCGGGTGCAGGCGACGGCGAGCAGCCATTGACAGCTGGAACACCCCGAACCATGTCCTGGTTGGCTACCATTTGGGCCTGGGCGGCGAAAGCCCCATTCTCCGGAGTAATTGGCGGTGTCATGTATCCATGTGGAATCGCAGTCAACTGTTGGGACTTCTGAGGGGTAGCGAGGCCCATCTCCCCATTGTAGGGCTTTGACTCCACAGGAGTCTCCACCGGAGGGGTGCAACGAGCATAGTTGACCAAAGACGCCTGGCGGTTGAGGAAGTGCTCCAAGACCTTGGATACCCGAGAGTAGTGAGCCGAAGCGTACTTCCGGGAAACCACAGTGGACGGCTGGTGCAGCTGCTGAGAAAGACCAACGAGAGTCATCGAGTCATACTGGGCAGCCCAGTCGGTGTGGCGGGGCTGAGGTCGGTTGAGGATGCAACGAGCCAGTGCCAATGCGGCCCGCGCGAGCTCAGACGATGGCTTAGAGACAAAGTCCCGGTGGAACAAGGCAATCTCCAGAATGTAGAGAGCCATGTGCTCCACCTCAGGGTCGTAGGGCTCGTCCAGGACGGCAATCTGCAGGAAACTGTCCACGGTCGGGTGGCCAATGGTCCAGCCGAGGGTCTGCAGAACGTGCCATTCCATCTGGATGAACATGTCGTCATCGTAGAGGGAGCAGCACATCGACTTCAGCTCCTTGACCGTAGGAACGCGGTCCTTCTTATCATTGTACTTCGCGGCGATGAGGAGGGCTGCACAGCCTACCAGCTGGTAGTGACGCTTGTAGACCACCCGCTTAGAGCAGTAGCGGTCCAACAAGTTGATCGCCAAGAACAGCGTCGACGGTAGGAGTTGGAAGGCAGTGTGGGCCTCGATCAGGAAGTCAAGGAGGTAAGGGCGCATGAACCACTGGATTTCGGTTTGAATATCGATCGATTCCACATCCGGGAGTGTTTGGCCCTGAGCGAAAGCACATGTCAGCAAAGCCTTGTTTCGATTCGCCTTTCGACCCCCCCACACAATGGGAACTTACATCCATCTCCAGCATGTGCTTCAGGACATCGTCTCGAAGCTCTTCGCTGGCGATTTTGGACAGCTGGTCCGCGATAGCATACTGCCGCTCACGGGCAACGAGCTTGTCATGCTCCTGTTTGGCCTGCTTCTCGGCGCGCACCCGGTAGTCATCTTCAATAAAGAAGGTGTCACAAGGCTGGAAGCCAGATCGAGGACGGAGGTACTCCATGGTTGCTGTAGTCGAGGATTGACCGGAGAGAAAGGGAGAGGCGGATATTGATTAGCTTTGCAAGAACCAGAAAGGTGGAACCTGAAGGACGTGTGGTCGAACAGGTAACGACGGAGTTAAGAGAGTGACAGTCGTCGAATTAGGTAGATCAAATGAATGACTGAAGTAGTTGGATCAAATTAAGGAGTGGACCAGCGTGAAACAAGAGTGTGAAAGCTGGGGGAAACGAGCAGACAAGGCCGGGATGCCGGGGGAGGAAGTCTTCCAAGGGCGAAAGCTGCACGGTCGATTAAGATATTAGCGGGACCGGAGTCGAACGATTAGAGATTAGGATTAAGGCAGTGAGCGTGGTAGACAATGAGGATGGGTGGGAAAAAAGAGAGGGCCGCGGTGTGGAAAGACTTTTGATATCAAGCACCAATCCACAAAGGGCCAAATAACTCCTGCGGAGAAATACTGACCCAGGTAGAGAGCCTTCGGGCAGAGGGCACAATGCAACCCTTACCGGGACGGCGATTCTGGCATCTAGGCTAGGCCAGCAGGAATGATCCGTTGAATTATGATTCTGTAGGATGCCAGTCCGAAAGATGAAGCACGAGTGAACGTCTTCACCCCTAGGCCGGGGACTGCTGGAATGTGGAGTGCAGGGCACAAGACAACCCTATGTAGGGGGGGCACCACGATTGTCAGGGGAGTGGGGAGAACGTGCAACAGGAATGATCATTCACATACACTTCACGAGTTAACGTGTTCCGAAAGAACCTCCAAGGCAGATTGGAAGAGGCTGATGGAAAGACGGTCGGTCAACGACTCAGAGCACATTCACAAAAGAGTGAATTGACCAAGTCACGATGCAAAACCGAAAGTTCTAAACCAGGTCAGACGTTAGTGAATGATACCAATGCCAATGCAAGCCAGCACGGGGTATAGGTAGTGAACGAGGTATGTGTTGCCCTGGCGTTGATCGTCCTTGACTCCCGGTATGTCCAATATCCAACCCCAGTCCAAGATTTTCACGGCCCCTTAAATCAACCCTGCACTGGTAGCAACCGAGGGCGGTTCACAATTGAATAACACGCCTGTCCTGGGGAGAACAGGTTCCTGGATCCCTGAGCGAAGAGCATTCCGCGTGTGATGCCATTTGCATATAACATCGGGCCCCCTTATGCTCCCATCCTTCCCCAGCAGGACCGGCCTTGTTCAATTGTGAGCGCCACACCAGTATCTCACCACCAAGGCCAACCCAATTGAGCAACCAAAAGTGACAGTGTTTCCGTGTCCAAGGGTCGGGGGGCGTCTGGTCCTAGGGGATATGAAATCCACGACCATTGCCAACCACCATGACTCCTTTCGTGTGCACGCCCCACACCACTTGCCAACGAGGCTTCACACTTCCAATGTGTTTCCATGTATCTCGGACGGACAGGTATAGGATATCGAGGGTACCGGGGGCCTTGGGCAATCCGACGCAACTCGTGCTGCAACGCAGTTTTCTTTTTCTCACTTACCCAGAACAGTCTCCAAATCAATCAGAAACCGAAAGCACACAGTTTTCGTATCATCCGAAGAAATTCTCCAAAATGATATCCCCACACTGTCGCTCGTCTAACCGGCAGGAGCGGGCTCAGGGAGGGTTTTCGTCGGGGTCCGGGATCACGAAGGCACCGGCGGACAAAGGACGAGGGGGAGGGGTTCGCCGTTTGAGCTAACAAACGTCGAAATTGGGAGGATCGTCAAGACCGAGGAGGGGATTCGACTCGACAGGAGGTCTGAAGCGGACTGAGGACGGCACGCTCGTTTCTCAGTCGACCAGACTCCGGGCTCTCCACAGATTGGCAAGGGGAGGGAGAAGGAAGAAAGGAAGAAGAGGGTATGGAAGAAGAGAAGGGAGAGGAGAGGAGGAGAGGTACAAGGAGGAGGAATTTAGATTCTCTCTCCAGGCGGGTGTGGGAAAGAAAAGAGGAAGAGAGAGCTGAGACAAAAGACGGAGATGGGCAGCTTAGCTGTGCGGTACCGTCATAACGAGGTTTGTGGGTGGAGGCTGAAGCTGTATGGAGTACCGTACCTGCCGGAGGGGATGGCGGTATGAGTCGGTATTACCAGTATCCAGGTATGGTAAGGAGGCGGGGGCCCAGTCACTTCTCCCTCGCTCTGCAAGGACGATGCACGGGTGGGTGATCCATGAGGTTTGAAACCGCCATGGAGTATTGTCCATGTCTCCTATGTCTATGTCGTCCAAGTCATTTGATTTAGGCTCCCTATGGGCAATTTGGGCGGCGGAGCACGCTGTTCACCTGCGCCCCCTCCGGCGGAGAGCGTAGTAAAGAGGTAGTATGGGAGTATCGAACTACGGTTTACGCCGGCCTCCACTTGCAGCCTCGCCCTCAGAGCATGAGTCCGGTACTCGCGTGAGTACAGTGGTAGATTCATTGTCTGAATAACATCGTGCCCTGACCCATATAATGAACTCTGCAGTGATTTATTTTTCAGCCTTCCCTGAGACCCTCCCCGATTTCCCAGCGGACAAGGAATCGCCTGTTCAGGAGTTGAGGCCTGAGCCCTGAGTGGCCCTTGCTCGCGTGGGAAAACGGGTCCATTACGCTCCTTCAACGCAACGAGATGTATCGACCCAAAACCACCTCCTATCGGCGAGGGCAGCCGTAGGATCTCAGGCCAGCCTTTTTCCTATCACTAGGGGTCACAGCATGGAACACCCAGTCTATTGGGACTGGCCCAGGCACCAAAGATGTGGCCAGTCGCGTTTTCGACCGTATGCCGCGACCCAGTCATTTTGTTCCGCATACACTAGAGTATTTCGATCATCCGCAGCCAGTGAAAATGCAGGCCGAGAGATTCTCGAAAATCACCCAATACAGCGACCTCCCAACGAGGACTTTGGTGGGGAGATCTTCGTCGCGACCGAAACATTTCAGCCCGTCTGTTCCAGGACTATTTCCCGTCACTAAAAAGTACCACATGTCAGCCCTCTCTTTCCCCTTGATTTCAGCCCTCGGATTCCCTCGGATTCGGTACAGAGTAGAAAAGATACTACAGTACTGCCTGGGGGACCCTGTACCCCGTACCTATAGACATATAGACACTACTCATCAGGACATGGATACAACGTGGAGGTGTCTATGATTGCCCTTCGAGGCAGAACGGGAAAACTATAGAGTATTGCAGCCAGGTTAATTCACCCTGACGGCAAAGTCGCGGTATACCTTAATTTCCTTATGTCCTCCGCAGCCACCGCTGACCGCGTCCTGTAACCCCCGGTGCTTTCATAATCATGTACGTGAGTGTACAAAAGGGCATCGATAGAGTGACCGAGGACGCAAGCCATTCTCCGGACCCCAAAGGTCTCGTAACAGTGTATCGTCGGCCATGCACATCCTCTCCCGTTGGCTCGTCCGAGAGCCCATCCCCGGGGCAGCTAGCGCTGCGCTGGCTTGAATGGTTCGCCCTCTAGCCTTCCGATACGGTCGCGTCCCAGGGTCTCCTGCGGTCTACGCTCGCTGACTGGCCCAGCGCCCAGGATTGCCCTGGCATGGACTTGATTGCGACTTCTCCCCCCCCCTCCCAGCCGCCCACTTCGCCTCCCAGTTGGGCTGTGGATATACTCTTGGCGGCACTCCCGCTCCGAAGGAGCCATAATAGCCCATAGCGGCCTAATGCACCCTCATGGCCCCCTTCTCCTTCCCCTCTGAGCCGAGCCTCCTTTGTCTTGCAGGGATCTCATCTCGCCTGCGTACCATGTGGGGGATGGCGGCCTCCAAAGCAGGTTCTCTACTCGGTCCGTGGCATCCAAGAAATCTACAGGCCCCCACGTTTCCCCGATCCTCTTCCTTGGAACTCAATTGCGGGTGTCTCCTTGTGCGAACGCGTCCATCGGTGCGGCCGAACAAAGGCCTACGACTCTGCTTGCGTGAACTGGTGTCAGTTTCTCCCCTCTCTGGGGAAGCCGCATACGCAACCACTTCCCAGGTTTCCCAGGTTTCCAGGTGGGACGATGGACACTATTGGCACTTGTCTGCCGCCTGTGAGACTCGGGCAAGGATGGTGATTTGTCCCCGGCTTCCCTCAACCAAGATAAGGTTTGCACAGGAGAGATGTGTCCAGCTTGACTCCTCTTTTCCTGCACTTCCAGAAGGACGTCCCATACTGCACGTCAGGTCTCTCAATTTTCAATTCCTCCGTACATACATTACAGCCAAAGGGGCATGCGACACTCCCAAACTCTCCAGTGAGATCCTTTTTACTCCGTAGTAATCCAGTACTTCGTTCACTCCGGCCAATGGTTTCATAGACCCCACCCCTCATGGTGCGAGTCGGGGTTGGGGTCTCCTTGCTTTGTCCCTTCTCAGACGCGCTGTAAGGTCGGCAAAGGGTTAAACTTCAGCCACTCGTGATGCGACCAGGACTCCACGCAGGAAATATTGATGGGCACTATGCGAGTCGGCCGTTTTGCAATGACAATGTGGTGGCCACTCCGACCGGGCCTGATTGATCAATCGGGGGCTGGACGAGATCAACCGACGTGCCGCAGACAGAGAGCAAGAGACCATGCTGCTCAATTCCTTAGATCGTCACCCCGCCCCAAGAATGCAGACCCCTCGTTGATGGCATCTGTCTCTCGCCTGGTTATGGCATAATTGTACGGTAGGCTAGGGACGATCCCCTCCACCAACCGTTTGCCAGAGAAGAAACGAGACATCCGGCGCCATTGCAGGATTGTGACATCGGGTCTGTACATTGGGACCACGTAAGGGAGATCCCAACCGGGTAATCGAATGCTGGACACAGCCAAGATGCGGAGGCAGATCGTAAACATACTTCCCGGTCAATTGAACGCCCTACGCTCACAATGTTCAATGGTCGGAACTTACACCCAATGAATGCCAGGGTCTTGACAACTGTACCCTCCTGGGGCCTGAACTACGCTTCTTTTGGAAGGTAGGCAAATCATGTGTTTGGCAAATATTCGACTTCAATCTTGCGTC